AAACCTAGGGAGCATTGTTGAATTCGAGATATGAAAAAATGAATGTGCACCTTTGTGTGGGAGGAATGGCAGGATCTCCCTTTATTTCATTGGTATGGGAAACTACTGGAGTGGAAACTCTCCACCAAAACAGATCAGCAACTAGTTTTTAACTTATCACCTTATAAAACTGCCTGGGGACACTTTAAGTGACTGTCACAGTCACAGGGCAAATATGTATCTGCAGCAGGATGTGGACCTAGGTTTTTCTGACAGCAAAGCCAGCCTTCTATCTCTTTTATCTTACTGAGTCTTATATACTCATTGTTTTTTAACTTTAATTTTGAAATTTTATTTTTACATTTTAAAAAAATTTTGAGTTCCGAATTCTCTTCTTCCCTCCAGACCCTTCCCCACCTGAGAAGGTGAGCAATGTGATATACCCATTTTACATGTGAAGTCATGCAAAACATTTCTATATTAGCTATGTTGTAAAAAAAAAAAAAGGAAGAAAAATAAAGGAAGTGAAAAAACAATATGCTTTAATCTGAGAGTTCATCAGTTCACTCTCTGGAGGTGGAAAGCATTTTTCATTATTAGTCTTCTGACACCGTCTTGGAGCACTGTATTGATCAAAGTAGCCACGTCTTTTACAGTTGATTATTGTCTCAATATTTCTGTACAATGTTCTCCTGGTCCTGCTCATTTCATTCTATATCAGTTCATATAGGTCTTTGCAGGTTTTTCTGAAACCATCCTGCTCATTTCTTATAGCATAACAGTATTCCATCACAATCATATATCACTAGATCAGACATTCCCAACTGATGGGTATCCTCCAATTTTTTGCCACCACAAAAAGAGATGATATGTTTTTCTATATATAAATCTTTTTTTTTATTTGATCTCTTTGGGATACAGACCTAGTAGTAGAATTGCTCGAGTCAAAAGGTATGCAGATTTTTAGTCTTTTGGGCGTAGTTCCAAATTGTTTTCCAGAATGACTGGACCAGTTTACAACTCTACCAACAGTGCATTAGTGTACCTATTTTCCCACATCCCCTCCAGAGTTTGTCATTTTCGTTTTCTGTCATGTTCGCCAATCTGATAGGTGTGAGGTGGTCCTTCAGAGTTGTTTTAATTTGCATTTCTACAATTAGCAATTTAGAGCATTTTTTCACATGACTATTGATAGCCTTGATTTCTTCTGCTTGTTCATATTCTTTGACCATTTATCAACTGGGAAACAACTCTTATTTTCATAAATTTAGCTTAGTTCCCAAAATATTTGAGAAATGAGGCCTTCATCAGAGAAATTTGCTGTAAAAATTTCCCCCCAGTTTCCTTATTTCTTTCTAATACTAGCTACAGTGATTTTGCTTCTGCAAAAACTTTGATTTTACATAATCAAAAATTACTCATTTTATCTCCCATGATTCTTGCTATCTCTTTTTAGTCATAAACTCTAATCTTATCCATACATCTGAGAGGTGAATTTCTTCTATGCTCTTCTAATTTCCTTACAAAATCACATTTTGTATCTAAATTATGTACCCATTTTGACCTTATCTTGGTATATAGTGTGAGATGTTGGTCTATGCCTAGCTTCTGCCAGACTATTTTCTAGTTTTCCCAGCTGTTTTCTGCCTCAAAAGCTTAGATCTTTGGGTTTATAAAACACTTAGCTCACTGTGGCCATCTACTACTGTGTATTATATATTCAATCAGTTTCACTGATCCACCTCTGCATTTATTAGTATCAGAGAGTTTTGATGATTATTGCTTTATAATTTGAAATTTGGTACTGCTAGTCTGATTTTCTTCACATTTTCTTTCATTGATTTCCTTGATATTCTTGACCTATGGTCATTGTTAACAGCATGATTAGGGAGCTGAAATTTAAGGTAGGAAAAAAAACAACAACATAGATATCTACAGTAACTGATCAGCTGAATGAAAAAGGATTTAATAAAAGCATAGTCAAGATGACTAGAAATGGGAAGTTCATCATAATGAGCATATGGTGCTTGGAAAAAGTTATAGACATTTTTATGTCTAAGCAGCAGTATACCAATTTGAGAAACTCAGGTAAAATGAATTTTGTTTTAAAATGATTAAAATAAAACTACTTAATATTCAATTAAGCAGCATGTATTAAAAATGTACTACATTCTGTCCTACTCCAGTGTTAATATCCCATTATCTTATAGTTTGAAAACCATATTACATGATTTCAGATAAGTAAATCATTGAAAGAGAAACTAAATTGTATTACCTGGATTATTTTCTTTAATGGTAACTAAATAGAAAAATCCTTCTGGTGATAGCAGATCTGCAACCAAAGGGAAAAATCTGTCCATGACTTCTCGGCCATTTCTGCCACCAGCCCAAGCTGCCTCTATTCCATGACTTCCTACCTGTGTTACCAGTTGGAAAGAATCTTTTAATTTTTTTTAGTTAAAATTATGTCTGGAATTTCAAACTACTGAAATTCTTAATCAACTTTAGATTTCCATTGTTAATACTTTGTTGGGAAACATAAATTAACTTCCACATACATTTGTCCTGCTTTTAAGAAACCTGACACAGTATTCGGAAAAGTTCAAACTTAAAGTGCTAGATTAAGTGCTAGAGATCACATTATATTTTTTGTTTTACAGAAACAAAGGAGTTTTAAGGTCTTTTTTTTGGCATAATGACATTTAAAACATTTAAGAGATCCTATTTAAAAAGTGACACATAACTTTTAAAGAATATATGCAAAAATACACTTTTAAAAACCCCAACCATTTGCTTCAGGTCCAAATATGACCCAACCATTAGCCTTTGGAAGTGAGTTTGAACAGATACATTATGAATGACCCATGGTAATTTCATGTCCAAAATGGCAAAATTTTATCTTAGAGCTGTGATAGCAGCTATGTTCCTTCAGCAATGGAGGGCTCAGGATTCATTTGGTTTACGAGGCCGTGAAGAAAAATTGGGGTACTACTTTGGTGGATCTGATTTTAACGTAGGTACTCACTCCCTCCAAAAGAGTTTGTAACCCATCTGTGTTTTCTCACCTGGTGTGACTTTTGCCCATTTTGTCCTATAAATCCTCCATACAGGATTTGAGAGATCAGTAAGTCTCAGAGAAAAACCTACCTTAATTCTCACCTTCACTTTGCCATGACCACTGATATCTCTTTGAATTAAAAAGAGATAAAAATGGGCATTCTAAATCACTATCCAGTTATTTATTTTCTGGACAGGCATCCTGCCTCACATTCCAGGTATTCTGTTCCCTGCTGGAGGTGGGACTTGATGTGCAGTACTTAAAGCTGAAGTGGATGGGGCCTTTTGTGAGATCAAGGGGAGAAATGAGAAAGGGTTCATTGCTGTGAACTTGATGTTGACTATCTTCATAAATAATGTAATCTTTATTATGTAGAGTAGTGAGTAACCCTACAGTGATGAATATCTCTGTAACCCTTAGCATATGATTCTCTGGGCTTTTGTTTCCTTACCTATAAAGCAAGGATAATGTCTGACATTTCTCCCAGTTCTAAAATTTTAAGAATACTTTAATGCCAGTGTTTGTCATTTATAAAGCCTATGCCTATATTCCACCATGAGAGGAATCATGAAGGGTATATACAGTACCTGAGCAAAGCTTTCAGGAAAAAAAAGGATTCTAAAAGGTAGAAATAAGTAAGGAGTGCATTCTCAAGCATGTATAAATGCCTCGAGGTGAGAAATAGGATGTTAAGTGGGAGAAACAAAGTGACTAAGCTTAGCTGGATTACAGGTACTTGAAGAGGAAAATAGGAAATACTGCTAGACAGAGGAAGATGGGCCGAATTTATTAGAGTCTTAAATTTCAGTTTGATAGTGTCACTGAAAGTTTTTGAGCAAAGTAGTGAGACAAGGTCAAGCCTTAACTTTAGAAAAAAATTTTTGGGAGTTGAGTGAAAGCTTTATTTGAGAAGGAAGAAATTGGTGAAATTAGGTTATTCTGTAGTCAGGACATGAAAGACAGCTAGCTGGTGCAGTGGATAGAGTACCAGGCCTGAAGTTGGGAGACTTGAGTTCATATTTGGCCTCAGACTCTACCTGTGTGACCCTGGGCAAGTAACTTAACCCTATTTGCCTCAGTTTTCTCATAAAATGAGCTGGAAAGAGAAATGGCAAACCACTACAGTATCTTTGCCAAGAAAACCCCAAATGAGATTACAAAGAGTCAGGCATGACTGGAACAGGTAAATAAGAACAAGTCAGAATAAGACCTAGGCCATGCTTTACATACTATCATAGGCATCTTGTTCTGTGCCTGGTTGATATATACATAGTTTGTCTTCCATCTACTTCTCTCATTCTGGGAAAAATAATCAAATCAATACTGTTCGTTGATTCTGGCATGAAACAGGGTAGTGGTTATCTGAGAAGGAGATGAATATAAAGATGGTGTCAAAAAAATCAACAAGTTTAGTAATTAATTGGATTTTGGACGATCCTAAGCAGTATGGTGGTACCTTGAAGTAGTAAAGAGGCTTGGATTTGGGGAAATACAATATTAACTTTTGACAGGTAGGATTTGAGATGCCAAAAGGACTTTCAAGTGGAACTGTTCAGCAGTCAGAATATATTAAGGAGTCATCTTCAAAGATGATAATCAGATCAGTGGAAGCAAATCAGATGACCAAGGGAAATTGTAGGGAGGAAAAGGGGACCTAGGAAAGAACCCTGATGGATGCCTATGTTTAGGAAGTAGGAGATATATAAGTTGGTAAAGGAGACTGCAGAATGCAATGTCATGAAATTCAAGGGTAAAGGAAGTAACTAGGAGGCCTGGGGCACCACATTAAAAGACGTAGGAAGGGCAAAGAGCTTAAGACTGAGAGAAAGTTTTTGTTAAATCTTTGCTTAATTTCTAATTTTTAGCAATCTAAAGTTATGGATAATGTTTTGTTTAATTTTATTGTTTTTATATATCATTTTCCTTTAACACCTCTCCCTCCCAATAAAGTTTTCTCCAAAAAAGAAAAACATTTAAGCACACTATGAACATGACTTGACACAGTATAACCCATGTTCTTCTTTTTACCATCTCAGCACTCTGGGATCAAGATTAGTCACTGTGATTAATAAGTTTAAATACTTTTAAAATGTTTTCACATTATTTCAATCATTGTGGGTTCTTCATTTTTTACTTTGTACCTAGTCATTCTTCCCATGTTTTTCTGATCATGTCCACTAAGCTTTGAAACTCTGCCTTGGGTTTGAGCTGTCCTGAATAGTGAGAAAAACCTTCCTTAACTCTCTTCTATGTTGCCAGCCCCATACCATACTTCAAATCCCATACATCCTAGCAATTTTGCTAAATGTCCTTCTGCCACATGCATATCCCCTCTCCCATCTAGATTTCACCTTTTGCAACTAAGAACAGTAATCAGACTACAGGCATTTAGCACAGTGCAGTAGGCACTTGCTTTTATTCAATTATTCTCTGGTTCTGTTCATCATCTCTGAGACTCTCCATGTCATAACTATCTTGCTGGCCACCATTCCCCTATGTGTGTTGTCTTTCCCTATCAGAATACAATATAAGCTTCCAAAGCACAGAAACTATTCCCATTTGAATCTACATTCCCCACATCTAGCAGTGGCTTAGACATAGCATCCCTCAACATTTTTAGTAACCATATGATGACTCAAAGAATATATTCTGTCCCCTGGCTTAATCTTGACTGTGGAATCTTGTCACTATTTCTGAAAACCATGAGATGTATGTATGAAAACCTTGCACTGGTAGGGAGAATTCATTTAGCAGGAATAACTTAGCCATTTGAATCTTCCTCCAAGCTGCAATACTTCTGTGAATGTGTATAAAATGTCTCTGATAGACTTAAAACCAAAGAGTAGTGAGAACTTCATCATGGACAGCTTCAATTTTATCATTAAATAGGAGACAAGTTCATCTGCTAGGAGTAGAATCAGGGTCTTGAGAAGACAGAATAAAGTTCATAGTGGATCAGCCACTATAAAGTGTGTGGTAGTCAATCATAGATGAATGAACAGATTGCTGTGTAGCAGTGAAGGCCCAGAGGAGATAAAAATGACATGAATTGTTCAGCTTATTCCAGTAGAGGGTGGGAATTTGCTAGCCATAGCAATAGAGTACTCAATTGACTAAAGTAGGTGTTGATAGGGGCAATGGCAGCTAAAAGGTCATATGATGAAGGGGTCACTAATCACTAATCCTTACTAGGGGGGCTGGTGCTATGACCAGGAGGAAAGGGTGGGCCATGTAGTAAAGGAGTCCTAAAGTCGCATGGAGCATATGGCAGTGGTAGCCTCTTCACTCTTCCATCTCTTACCACCACAGTTTTAACCAGGACCAAAACGGGGCAGCATTAGGAGGTACACTTTTTTACTTTGCAGCAGCAGCAGCAGTTTTTACTCATCCAACCATGTAATGACGGAGGGAGAAGAAGGTGCCATTTTCACTGATGCTACCCCATACTGGAGAGAGATGAATGATGCCATAAAAAAATTCATTCAATACTAGCTAATGTGTAACCTAAAGATAATGGTCATTTAAAATTTTTATACACCTCTTACCTCTTCAGAAGGCGTAACTACATAGGGTGGGTTAAATACCAGAAGATCGACTTTCCTGAATAACCTTGGTAACAATCCTTTGGCCTGGATATAAATCAAAATAGTCAATTGGACTTTGTGGTTACATGTCAGTGCCTTCAATAATGTCACTTGTATTCTTACAGAAGAAATGTGTTTCATGTACTGCAAAGCATGGCAGGCTCAGGTGCTGAAATATCTTAAAATCTCACACATTTTCATCTTAAGTCTCACATAAATTTACACAAAATATAGATTTTTTTTTTGGAGCATGGAAACTAGTTCATCAAAATAAGCACAAACTGTCTGGGTATGTTGCTGCTGTTCAACAATCCAGATTGTGCACATTGGTATATTTTTATAAAATGAAATAAAAGGGTAGGCAAAATCCATAGATTATAGCAAGTTAGAGACAGAAATAGTTGCATTTCATAAATACTTAAAACCTAGCACAATTTTCTGACTGAGAACTAGGAAAAAGATGCCTTTTTTGAGTCAATAAATTCAGCTCAACTAGATGGAGCATACACACACACACACACACACACACACACACACACACGTAGAATTTATTGAGAAAGAGAATTTATGCTTCTAGAATTTCTGTGCCACCTGTGTTTCTATGAATTCAGATTTTTCTTCTAAATCAAATGCTTCCTTAACAATGGTTACCCTACAGCATTTCATGTAACTGTTACATTCAGTGTCAAATTCTGAGAAATTATGAAATAGTATACTTGAATGATTTTGACTGTCAAAATTCTAAAAGTTTTCTAAATTCTAATTCCATTTTTAAACTTAACACTATTAAGTAGTCATTAGCTGATTAAAAAAGAAAAAAAGACATGCTTATTCAGAAATACTATTAAATTTCTTTCCCTGGAGGTCCTTAAGAAGAGATTCATCTTGATATAGCACAGATATCATTTTGCCCTTTTTAAAAAAATTAATGGTTAATCTTTTTCTGGATTACTCAGGGTTAAGTATTCTCTGTACACTAGTTAAGAAGGCAAAGACATTATACTTTAGGAAGACTTCCACTCAAAACTGTTAAAATATTTTTTTTAACTTAGTACTTAAAGGATGAAGCCTCAACTATCCATAAAATCCAGCTACTCAGGACAACCATTCTCTTAAAAGCTTCTTTATATGTTATCTTATTTAGTCCTTACAATAACCCCATGTTAAATAACTCCCATATTCAAGTGTCAGAAGAAAAACTTGAACACAGGTCTTCCTGATTCTATCCATTATGACTGGCTCTTTATGTCTTCCTATGTCAACCTATACCTTTTGAAAAGTTTGGGAGAATTCTTAATTTTATACCAGTAGTGGAAAAGGATTACTATCTCACCAAATCTGTGATTATTGGCTGAATGTGAACTTTGTTACACAGCGCTGTCTCCAAGGTACAGTCAGCTGCTTTTGGGTTGATATCAGTACACCTATAAAAAAGATAAAAAACAACAAAGTAACCCTTTGAGAAACAAATAAAACCTTACAAATTAATGGGGCAAATCTATGACAGAAATCAAGAAATGTTTAATTTTTTATAAGAAAAGAAAGTATAAGAAAAAGTATAATGCTATAATAATGGACAAGAAAACAGATGCACATTTGTGGCTTTTAAAACTGTTTAGAATTGCAGAATGATAGAGTTGGAAGGAACTTTATATATTATTTCTTTTAAATAAAATTTAAAAAAAATAGAGATGAGTAAGTTAGACCCAAATTAGTGTTACATATATAGTTTTAATTCTCAGAAAAGGCATACTACTCAATCTTGTGTCCTTTATGTGTTTAACTATTACATTTACAAATCAAACATGCGTACCTTGTAAATGTTAACACAAAATATTGTATTCAAATAACTATACTTCAATTCATTACTCTTAGTACACTATTTGATATAATTGATACAATTATACTTACATATACAAAGCCTGAGGGCCAATAATTGAAGCCAGGAATGCAGATACGATGCCAGATCCTGATCCTATTTCAAGGGATATCTCTACTCTGAATTGAAAATGTTGTATTTAGTAAAAATAAAATAAAAATGGACTCTAGCAAATGTTTTAGCATAAATCTTTCCTGTTCTGTCATTTCCCCCTATAGAAAGTTAATGCTATAACCATATGCAAAAAATACTTATAATGTTTTTATGCTTAATATTGTAAAGCTCAAAACTGCAGAATTACTCTGTGTATGCAAATAAATACTGTCTTATTGAATTAGGAAAAACAATGTATATTGGTAATGTCTCTAGACAGCTTTAAGGCAATTTCAGTAAAATATTACACAAGAACTATGTACTTATGCCCTGAAAAATAAGAATATTTACTAAGTTAATTTCTATAGTTTTTTAAAATTACTTATCCTATAACATGCTGTATTAGAAAGGTAAAGGACCCTTGGTACTAATTTACAGTGGCAAAGAATTCCCTATATGGCGTGCAGTAAGGAGGCTGAGAAGACTTTGGTGAAAACAATGAAATAGTTGCACATTTCATGCTAGTGCTTTTATGGTATTATCCAAATTAAATTCCAAGACAATCAGTGTAGTATGGTGGATAGAGGAGGATGGTTGTGGACTTGAAATTGTATCTTTCATACATTGTTGTATTACAGTGAACCACTTAACCTCTCAGTGCCTCCAAGCAACTCTCTAAGCCAGTTCATATATTTTGGTTGTTCTATTTTTTAAACAGTTATTTTTTATTGCTGTTTTCTGTTTCTTACATCACCAGAGTATCCCATGTATTCCCCCACCCCTTACCGCCCAGGAGCTATTCCATAAGACAAACAGTGGAGTCTTTTTGCTTTAGGAGGGAAAATCAGCACAACCAATTGATACAATGAAAAAGTTCAAAAACGTGTACTGTGTTAAGACCTGTGAATCTCCACCTACACAAAGGGATAACTTCTCCTATGTTTTCACTGGAATCTCACTTGTTCTTTATAATTTTATTACATTTACTTTTGATTTTTTTTTTAATGTCATTGTTTCCTTTTACACTGTTGTAGTCAATGTTGTGTATATTGTTTCCTTGGCTCTGCTTCACTCTGCATCAGTTCACAGCTTTCCAGGCTTCTTTGCATGCATCATTTCTTTTTTTTTTTTTTTCCAGGCAACTGGGGTTAAGTGACTTGCCCAGGGTCGCACAGCTAGTAAGTGTCAAGTGTTTGGTCTGAGGCTGGATTTGAACTCAGGTACTCCTGACTTCAGGGCCAGTGCTCTATCTGCTGCGCCACCTAGCTGCCCCCGTATGCATCATTTCTTCCAGCATATTAGTATCCCAATATATTCATGTACCACAACTTGTTTAGCCATTTCGCAATGGATGGGCATCAACTTTGTTCCCACTCAACTACTTCTTTTCTCTTCCTAGATGCATTGTTTTCTATGCAGAAGCTTTTCAGTTTCAAGTAATCAGTTTTCTATTTTATCTTTTGTAACTGCCTTTATCTCTTTTTTTGGTCAAAAATATTCTTATCTACAGCTGTGAAAAGTACATGATCAGTTTCTCTTCTAATTTTTTTATAGTATGATATTTAATATTAAGATCATATATCCAATTAGAATGTTTTGTGGAGTGTAGTTTAAGGTGTTAGTCTAAGCCTAATTTCTGCCAGACTGCTTTCCAATTTTCCCAGCAGTTATCAAATACGAAGTTTTTCCCCTGGGTAACTTAGGTGTTCTACTTTATCAAACACTGGACTATTGAGTTTTATTGTTTCTGAATCTCCCTTGTCTAGCCTGCACCACTGTTGTATTTTTTAACCAATAATTTTAATGACTGCTGCTTTACAATATAGTTTGAGTTCTGGAAGTGCTAGTCCCCCTTTCTCCTTACTTTTTTTCATCATTTCCCTGGACATTTTAGATATTTTGTTTTTCCACATGAATTTTGTTATTTTATTAAGCTCTGTAAATAGTCCTCTTGGTAATATGAATAGTATAGCATAAATAGTAAATTAATTTTGGCAATACTGTCATCTTTTATTATATTGGCATGGCCTAGCCCTGAGCACTGGGTATTACTCTAGCTACTTAAGTTGTTCTTTATTTCTTTAAGGGGAACTTTGTAATTAAATCTATACAAGTCTTCTGTGTGCTTTGGGAAGTTGATTCCCAAGTACTTTATGTATTTTGTACTAATATGAAATGGTATTTTCCTTTTATTGCTTCTTGTGTTTTGTTATGATGATATAGAAATGCTCTTGATTTTTGAAGATTTCTTTTGTAGCCTGCAACTTTGCTGAAGCAATAGCAATTGATTAGCATCTATACTGATTCCCTGGAGTTTTTCAAGGAAACCATCACATCATCAGCAAACAGGGAGAATTTTATTTCCTCTTTACCTATTCATATTCCTTTAATTTCTTTCTCTTGTCTTACTGCTGCTGGTAGCATTTCCAGAACTATATAAAACTGGGGAATCCCTGTTTAATGCCTGTATTTATTAGAAAAGGTTCTAGTGTATCCCTATTGCATATGATGCTTATTTTGGTTCTAGAGAAGTGCTACTTAAGATATTACAAAAAGGTCATTCTATGCCCATACTTTGTCAGGTTTTTAGCATAAAAGTATTGTAATTTGTCAAAGGCTTCTTCTGCATCTATTGAGATAATCATGTGCTTTTGAATATTTTGGTTTTTTATACAGTTATGTTGATTTGTTTTTCTAATGTTGAATGATTCTTATACTCAGAGTATCAATCCCAATTGATTACAATTTCTTGGATGATTTGCTGTAACCTGTTTGATTGGATTTTGTTTGAAATTTAGGAGTCAATATTCTTTAATTATATTAGCCTATAATTTTCTTTCTGTGTTTTATCTTTCCCTGTTTTAGGTATTAGGACTCTATTTGTCTCGGTAAAAGGATTATGGTAAGGGTCTTTCTTAATTTCTGAGGGTAATTTGTGAAGTATAGGTACTAACTATTCTTTAGAAGTTTGACAGACTTTTCCTGTGAATCCATCAGGTTCAGGGGCTTTTTCCTTTGCGAGTTCCTTTACAGCTGGATCTATTTCCCTTTCTGTGACTGGATTATTTAAATATCTCTATCTGGTTTTCTGATGGTTTTGGTTCAGTAATATTTTGAAAGTATTCCTTTATTTCTTGTATGTTCACAGTTTTGTTAGCATATAACTATGCATATTATGTTCTGATCATTCTTTTTTTTCTTCTGAATTTGCTGTGATGCCAGTCTACATATTTTTAAAATCATACTGTGATGTAGTATGATTTATGCCTCCTATTAGGAAGGTTCTAGCTGCTAAACTATTGTAAAATATCAGAACAATAACAAAATCAGTTCCTTACACGGCATGACTATAGCTTATGTTTGTAATCTATTCTATGATATTTTGGAATAAAAGACAAGTTGCAAAATAGTGTTGATTGACTCTCTAATTTAGTAAATCCAAAAGTTCCATTGAAGCCTGTGTGTATAAAAAGCTGCCTAGTTTCAAACGAGAGATAAATCAGTGCAGTGTAACTTTTTGAAACATGGCAGCTAGCCAATCAAATGCATCCAGAGAAACCCAGTTCTTTATTCCATTACAAATACATGTAAATGGTCAAATTCCAGCATATAAATTTCACTCTTTATAGCTATAAAATTTCAAAAGTTCTTCCTTTATTTATAAAGTATTGAGTTCTCACTAATTATATTTTTTACTTCAAAAACCTTACCAACCCCCAAACCTTCCACCTTCCCAATTACCGTAGAAGGTAAGTACTATGTTCCTAGTCCCTCAGGTACACAACCTAGCTGTCATCCTCGACTCTTCAGCTGATTATCAGCAGAGAGAGTGGAGGGAGGGGGATACATGGGATGTCTGAGTAAGGATGAAAAGGTTTAGAAGAGTTGCTGTGAAAAGTGGGATAGTGAGTTGACAAGTGGGGTGTAGCAGGATTTCCTAACAGCAGTGAGGGCCCAGTTGAGTCTTGGTAACATGAATTTGTAGTAGACTCAGTCAGAATTCGCATGATTTTTTCCTCCTTTGTTCAGCAGCATGTGTGAAGGAGTGAAGGAGACGAATAGTGAGAGAGATTCAAGGCTGAGGCTTGGCTGGTCATAATCAGTGATATGACAATGGGGCTAGGGATTCAAGAGGAGAACAGTGTAGAGTTGAGTCAAGATAGAGAGGAGTCAAGACAGGGAGAAGAGAGTGTAGCTAGTGTAGGAGAGATGGCCTGGAAGATAATCAAAGGATCAAAGGCTTGGAGCTCATGGTGAGAATGAAGAGTAGGGAAGGCACAAGGAGAAGTAAAAAGCTAACAGATTATGGTCACATAAGGAGATTTAAGAATCCTTGAATGGGTAAGTGGTACATTTATGGATGTTGGCAAGATAAAGGGTAAGACCATTTTTGTGTATGGCTGAAGTGGGGTGTAAGAGTAGCTCATGGGAGGAGATAAGATAAGAATTGAATGGTTAAGGCATTTGAGGAAGAATCAATATTATGTATGTTGAAGTATGAGGGCAGGAGTTGGGTAGGAGAGAAAAACTGTAGGTCAGATATCAAACTCAGAAAGTGACCTTGTGATCTGTAGACAACTGATACCAGGATTTTGACTGATAGGGAGTAGCATAGACCTATAAGGAAGAAAGGCTACTGAGTGATGGATGAAAAGAAACAGCCTAAAAGTGACAGTATTATTCTAGAAATGCAAGCTATACCAATAAGTCAAGAAAAATAAATTGAACAAATAAGCCTTGGCAATGAGAAAAAAAAAAAAGCTATCACTTTTTGCAGATGATATGATGGTTTACTTAAAGTACTCCTAGAGAGTCAACTAAAAAACTAATGAAAAGAATCATCAGTTTCAGGAAAGTTGCAGAATATCAAACAGACACATAGAATCATCAGAATTTATATATGTTACCAACAAAACCGAAAAGGGATAGAAAGAGAAATTCCATTTCATACAAATAAAGAACATCAAACTACCTGGAGATACATTCATTGCTCATGGGTAAGCTGAGCTAACATAATAAAAGTGAA